ATTATATTCGAGCAAAAAAATAAAAATCATAAAATAATCATTATTTGTAATCGAAAAAAATAAAAATCAAATAATAATCATAATCGTTGAGCGAAAAAATAATAATCAATAATAATTATTATTTTTGAACGAAAAATATAAAAATTATAAAATAATGATTACATGCTGATTTTAATTATTTTACTCATAATGATTACCGTCCCTGGTTATAAGGACTTTACAATGAAATACTTTTTTTTTAAATACATGATTTAATCAAAATTTTGAGGACAACTTGACATGACATTACTCAACAAGAAGGCAAATTTGATGAAAATTTGGCATATTTATAATTCGCAGTATCCTATGAACATACACACATACGTGCATATGTACACGAGTAACTATAAGTTACCAAATAATCGATCTTGATCGGATACAACTATTTTAAGGTGCACAGCCAATTAACGCATTTATAAAACCAAAATTAATGCTAGTCATAATAGATGCACATATTAAATTATTGAAAAAAAGTCTAATTAGTTTTGTGTTACTACATAAATGAGTGTAATTTTAGAAATTCTCAAGGTAGTGTTGTAGAGCAATTAAGGCAAAATGATAAATAATTTAAAATTAAGCTTAAAAATTACGAATCAAAAACGTAAAGTTAAATATTCCTGCATGAATGTTTTACCTAGAAACACTTAACTACAAACGTAGATATATTCATACATATATATATGTAAGCACTTACAAATACTTATATGCGTATGTTTACCTGAAAGGCTTACCTTTTGTTTCGTGTAGATTTCGACAAATTTTCGTATTTGTTTCGTGCAATAAATTAATTTGTTCCATCAAAGCGGCAAAGAATTTATTATTCTCTGAATCGCTGGATAGCTGCGGATTGCGTTGATCGGGTGTATTTTGGCCACTCACTTTCGAATCATTATCGGAGGGATTCAATAGACAGGGATCGCTGAAACGGAAACTAGTAGAAAATATTTATGTATGTACATACATACATACATACATGTTATAAGTATCTCTATCATTTGTGCATAAAACATGAAACATTTTATTACTTAGAGCTAAGTAATACACACCCTCGACTCATGTTGGGATTACTACCACTGCCATCGAGTACATCTGTTGAATTATTCTCCAATTCCGATGAGCCACCCATCATATTCACAATGGGCGGCAGGCTGGCAAAATCTTGGCCATCGCTTTGTTGATAGTATCCACCGATTCCAGGACCCATGCCACTATGCGGGAACATCATGGAATAGCGATTGTTGTAGTTGGAGTGTTTCATGTAATTTGGCACATTCTGGAACAAGAGCAAATCGATATAAATATTGGGAAATATGGTTATTTGGGTTAAATTTGTTTCAAGAATATAAATATCCAAATTAAAATACTTAAAAGGAAAAACAAATGGGAATTTAGACATTCGCAAAAGTGAAGACATTCGTGAATGTGAACCTGCTTGGTTTTATTTAGTTCACCTTATCGAAAGTGCACTGTACTTATGTTTACATACATACATATGTATGTACATTATAGTGGTCAAAAAATAGTAAAGTCGGAATTTTAATGCCGGCACCCCACCCCGTAGGATTGTTCTCTATCGAAAAATATGCCCCTTATTTTTATTTTGAAATCAAAAATATTTAGGGAGTGCTCAAAGCGCTCAAAGTTTTCCATGTATTTTATATGGCGAAAAAACAACTTTTCGTAGAAATGTTATAGAATTCTTGAACATCAATATTTTTCGATCGGAAAGCTTTGGTTCTCTTCAGAAAATGCCCAATAATAATACCCACAGAAATGGAGCATATCATCGCTCCACAGGAAATACCACCATTCACCGCAGAAGAGACCAAGTCTGCCACTAATAGAATAAAGGCCAAGAAAGCACCAGGCCCAGACAGCATTTCAGCAGAAGTTTTAAAAATAATCGCCGCAGAACGCGGTCTATGGGCTTCTAAACACGTGCAATGCCTGCCTCAAGAACGAAATATTCCCAGAAATTTGGAAAAGGCAGCAGCTCATCTCAATCAGCAAAGGAAAGTGAAACCTTGAATTCCCATCAGCGTATCGACCACTTTGTATGCTGGACACAGCTGGAAAACTCTTAGGAAGGCTGCTAGAACCTAGAATAGAAGCGGCTATCGCCAGTGGCGGCGGACTTTCCTCAAGACCGTATGGAGTCAGGCCCGGTAGGTCAACAATTGGAGCTATAAAACACGTAATAATAACAGTGGACGCCGCATACCAACACAAAAAGCTAGTCCAGCTTGCAACCTTAGACGTTCGCAACGCCTTTAACACCGCAAAATGGGAAAATATCATACACACGCACAAGAAGAAGTCTACACCATGCCCACGTATTTACCTTAGACTCATGGTTAGAAGCTATCTACGATTTTACGCTCCTTTCCCGCCCATTCGTACGAGGGGCGCCGTCCGTATGACGTACGGAACCATTTTATGGAGTTAACAAAATTTATCGAGTTGTCGTAATGTATCGAGTTATTTGAACTTATCGAATTATCGACATTTATTAATTTACTGAAAATTGTCGATTTACCGAATTGAGGTTTTTTAAATTTTCAAAATATATCGTGTTATAGAAATTTCAAGGTTATATAAGTTTATCGAGTTATCACTGCTTATCGAATTTGATCATGCTATCAGAGAAATTGGTCGATAGCTTTCGAAAAATATGTAGCTATTAATATTATTCGAAAATTATAGAGGTATCCAAAGCTTGTCGAGTTAACGGTTTATATCGAGATATATACATTTTGGATTTATCCAAATCTATCAAGTCCTAGAAACGCATAGTCATCGAAATTAGTCGAGACATCGAATTTTGTTGAGTTAAGGGATTTTAGTGTTTTTAAAATTCATTGAATTATCGATAGAACTGGAATGTATCGGGTGTATTTCAACATCCTGCCAAAGTCCTCCAAAGACTTTCAACGATATAAAAAAATTGAAGTCTCGATTTAATTCCAGAGCAGGAGATTTTCCGATAAGTAATCTTGTGCATTATAAGTTAAACGACGTGTTATTTTACAAGACCTCTCATTGGGTCTTCAAACACTAGAAGCCGAAACAGCCGAATTTCAACAGTAACTGGCACTCCTAGTATACATACAGACATAATTCCTTAACATATGTTTCTTTCGATATTCGAGGATAAAATTTTAAAAGAACATTTGCAATACCTATTCGGTAGTATGTGGATGCCAAAAAAATTAACCTCTTTTAATTCTACGGAGCTCTCTTTTATTTGATATCCATGTTGTTATTCTACATTGCACCGAATTTTCTAAATAGTAGAAAAAACTAAAAACACTGTTTTACTATTTTTGGTTCCTAGATTCGCGAACATATTTGGTTTTTTTTACTTCATTGAAACCAAAGATAATTCTAAGAAGATGCATTCATCAATTATTTTACTCACACGTTGAAAACCTTGGCTGAAGGGGCCACTGCCACCGCCGCCCGTGTAGCCGCCAGCAAATGACACTGGCCCCACTGGCAAACCAAATTGTTGTTGGCGTGAATGTTGGTGGTGCTGCTGCTGCTGCTGGTGAGATAAGTTTTGTTGTTGTTGTTGTTGTTGCTGTTGTGCATAAGAAAATTGCGACGGCTGATTCGCGTTATTTAAACTATTGTTGGAAAGATATGCTTGATTCTGTTGCTGATGCTGCTGACTATTTTGATGTTGGTGTTGGTGCTGGTGTCGCTGTTGCATTTGTTGTTGTATAAATTTTTGTGGATTTATCACACCACCAGCGTTACCGCTCCCGCCACCACACCCTCCAGTGCTCGTTGGTGTCGGATTATAATCTAAAAATTCCGATGAGGAGGATAATTGTGTATTAGAGGCATCCTTCAGACAAGTCTCCAGCCAGGCATCCAAGTGATCCTTCATATAGCCATCACCATGCCCATGACCTTGACCGCTACTACTAGGTACTGTAGCTGTGCGTGATTTAAGTTTTTTACGCTTGTTCGTTTCATTCATAGCTGCAAGGAGAAGAATCAGAGAGAGTATTAGTGAATTGACGCAAATTCCAAATTAGGAATTTCTAAACTTTTCTGCATGCATGGCAATGCTCGCTTGTATGTGTGTATGTTCGTTATTCAGAGGGTGCAATCGAGCGTTGCAAAAATTTATGTAATCGCAATTAAAAGTAGTTAGCATTGAATTGTGGCTAACAAAAGCTGTGTTCGCTCTGCCGAGCGCTTGAATATAATAGCTGATGTATTTTGGTAACAATGATGTCATGGACGGTGGTGCATCATTGACTTATTTCTTTTCATTTTTATTTTTTTTTTAATTCGGCGGCGGAAATGTGATTGGTTGAAAAAATGTGTTAAGCTGTGTATGACAGCCGCGCTTGCTTCTTCATTTCACAAATATTTATTATTAGTATTAAGTGGGATTCATTTATAAATACTTAAGCCTATAAGTAATGTATGCTTCCTATTAGCCAAGTGTGTAAAGTATTTTCGATGTCTGTGCTATTTTCGTCACACACGCACGCGTTCGTTGCGCACTTTTTACGTGCCACTTGGAGTTGGAAAATTGAAGATTTTATGGTAACAAAAACATGTGGCTGATTTCAAATTTTATTTAAAAACAGATTCAGTGCATGGTCTTACTAAAAATACTTGAACGAATTGAAGAGCAGTTGGGGGAATTTGGTTATGGCTAGGCGGCAAGTGGCATCAAAGAGGGAAATAAATATGGCATGATTATAGACATACAACGTAGATGGTTGGGAGTAATACTAAATGAAAAGAAATTCATTATTATGGATGTGATCAGGGTTGCCACTTTGGTAAATTGTTACCAAAATTAGTAGAAAACATTTGGGTAAATTGTTTCTCATTTTTGTAGATTTTGAATTATTTTGTTTGAAAAACTTTTTTCTTATTTTTCGTAGTTATCTTTATTCTATAAATTCGAACGCATAAATGCACACTTTTTTCGCAAAAAAATTGTAATAAACGCAATTTTTTAGCAATCGCAATTGTTAAATCAAAAACATACAAAAAACTGGCGGCAAAAAAATAAATCAACAGGAATTTTTAGCTGCACATTGTTGGTTATACTCAAATAGATGGGCTATAAAACTCCATACCTTTAATTGGTCGAAAAATTCAGAGTAGAAAGTAGACTAAAATTTTTGCAAGCGCAAACAATATTCTTGTATAAAAAGCAAATACCAAAAAATTTTGTCTTAAAAAAATTACCAAGCGGATCTTGGGTCACTGCATTTGTCTATAATAACTCCGGTAGAAGTTTTTTCAAATGATGAAGTTTCGTTGCAGGCCTTTAGATTCACCACTTTCGCTTTGGTTGAATGAAACTGAGAATATGCCAGTAATATGATTTCAAAAACGGAACATATAATTAGTTAAATAAAAAGTTCCTTAAAAACAATTTTATTTCTTATTGAAATAACGAAAAATATAACAAAACTATAGGTTTTATTAAAATAACTAAAAAAAAGTTGTTTTATTTAAAAAAAAAAAAAGTTATTGGTAGAAATATTCCAGGCTTGGTAGATTTTTTCAAGTGGATGGTAAGTATTTTTTTTTCGTCAGTAGCAACCCTGGATGTGAACACAATTATGTACATACATACATATATATAGCAAATTCCACTAATACGAGTATTATATGTATGTTAAAGTTTGTGAGTTGGTGAGTTGGTGCTAACTGGATTAACATACAATACATATCTTTCAATAGTTTAAATCAATTTATTAATCAGTTAAATAAAATAATACGACAGCGTAGATTTCAAACGAAAGGGGTTTCAAAACGATTTTTTCGAAAATATTCAGGAGAGTTGCTACCCGTTCAAAACGTTGAAATCAATTTAATTAACAAGTTAACGGAATATTGAACGAGCGAGATTTAAGAAGGTTTTATTTCCATATAATTTCTCAAAGGGAGTTGCCACCTCTTTATAAATACAAAATCGATTTAATTGGCAAGTTAAACTAAATCCTCTAATGTGGGTAACAAACGATAGAAGTTTTACGAAAGCTGCATCTATCTATTTCGAAAATATTTCTGATGAGGGTTGCCACCAGTTTATGAATTTGATTGACAGATTGTAAGTGGGCGTGTAAAGCGTTTGTTGGTCTTTCTTTGTATCACATTTGACTTACACCCAAAAAAAGTCAGCTAAAAATATTACTCTTAACACATGATTTGGTAACTATATATGACCAAATAATGTAACTACATATAAGCAAATCATATATTGAGATAAATATATTTAGCTGACTTTTTTCTGGGTAAGTAGCTTATGGCCTGGACTAACATATAGCTTAAAAGAATAAATTCTAATTTAAATTATAAGTTCATCGAAATTTTACAATATGAATGCGAAACGTACGAGATTTAAAAAAATGTATTACGAAAACATTTTTAAGAGGATTGCCACCTATGTTCACCAGTAGGTGCAGCTGCAAGCGGCTTGCTATATAAACGTGTATTCGGATAAAAAAAAACATCCCAGCAGGGGGTTGTGCGCTGGGCTTGGTACAAGCGACCCAAAAAAAAATTACCTGAAAAGCCTCGGATTATTACCGCCCTCAAATACCCTTAGATATGCTCCTGAAATGTCCGCACCCTTTATAGGGAAGGTGCGTTTATCCAATTGCCATTGAATGTCATAGAAAAATACCTAGCTGACACCAACTCAGTTCAGAAAGTGCAGAACTACTTCAAACGGACCAAACTGCATCAAAATTATCATATCGAAAACATGCTGGCGTGTTGTGTTCCCTTTGGCAATTAATCGATTCATATGGAACATAAGTTTTAGATGTTGAGACCTTTTATAATAACGGGCCTCATGCATAAAAAGCGAGCTTCAGCTCAGACTCGACTGTTACAATATAAAAAGCTGAAATAAGAGCAAAAAATTATATTTTCTTATCATGCTTCATGTTCTGTAAAACTTTCATACTAACACCTTGTGTAATTTCAGTATGATTGAATTTATCCCTCTCTTTTAGCATGGCGAGTGTCAATTGAAAACTTAAAACGCGTCTCCTAAAAAAATCACTTTTATTTTTTTTTGTAGCAGTCTTTTATTAAATAGATTTAGGAAAAAAAAATTTTTTATATACAAAAACTCAAATACAATGCCTTCAATGCATTAAAATATATTGAATGCTTTGAGTCGGTGAGTCACGAATTCCTTCAATGCCTTTGTCGCACCATCTTTAAAGTAAAAATCTGGTAAATCCAGTTTTAATGCGCGAGCGCAAGCGATATTCACAATGAATCATTGCATAGAAATGACAATACACAAAGGAAACACACAAAATGTTTGATAATTTATAAATATTTACGATTTGGCTAGTATAAATCGAATCAAGGTATGTATGTATGTATGTATGTAGATTACGTTTGTACTCGTAGTTAATACTTTATAATCGAACTAGTACATATGTATGTATGTAGCATATGCTTTTAAAAAAAAATATCAAAAATTGGGCACCAACAAAAATTTAACTTTTCTGACTTTCTAAAATTCTAATTCTCAGCGTTCTATAAAAAAAGACTTTTTCAAACTTTGACTAATTTTTCCTAATCACGAGCAATTTACGCGCATTGAAATTGGCCAAACAAAAGCGCATGCATATGTATGTAGTACTCGCGTATTGTTGTTATTGGCCATAAGTCAGCTTGATTTGTGAGCATTATTGCATGACATATTACCGCTTACCAGTTGTTGGTTAATAGCATAGTTACCGGTATTGGCATTTGATACCGCAAATGCGATACTATTTCTCACGTCAATTTCAAATTCACAGTTAATTTTGTTTTTTTTTTGCTTTGCTTTTCCAGGCAAATTAGCCACTATGCAAACAATAGCAAGTAGTTAGTCCCCTACAAAGCCGTATTTTTGTATGTACAATATATGTATATGTATGTCAGTCCATGAGGGCTGAGTGCAAAAATAATTTTTAATTACCTACTAGGTGGCTGGTGTTTATACAATTCGCTAAACACTTTGGTAATTGTGGTGATTTGATTTGTAATTACCTGTAATGAACTGAATCGGATTTGTTTACTTGCCAGTTACCGATATTTGTATAAAAACAATAAAGCAATTGACTGATTCAATGTAAAAATAAAATAACAGTGGAATTAGACGAACTTCAACCACGAGTAGGCTTTGTACAAGCACTTCATGCGGCCAGTATACATATATGTATGTATTTATGTAAATAAATGAGCTTCTAAATAAACGAAACGATTCAAAGAAAATATTCATTTAAGATTCGCGTTCAATAGTAATAAGTAATATTACAGTGGTTTTGGAGCCAAGGAGCTATTATTAATTTTTTACTTAGTACCTATGTAATGCGTACCGTGTTCTAGATATTGACTTCTACCAAAGAATAAAAATAAAATTTTGCATCAACAACTGCATTTATTACATTATTATCTACACTGAGAGAAATAATACATAGTAAAAATTAATAGTTTTTATTTGATTATCGTTCAAAAGTAAAAATTATAATTTCATACGAAAATTTAGCATGCACGTATTTGAGAATACACCAAGGGGAAAAAACTAGTAAAATCAAATAAAAACGTATTTAAATCAAATGAAAACGTGTTCGAACGTAGTGTAATGTTTAATGGAAATATTCAATTCAATATCACTTCACAATATTTTTCGCGACTTTCGTGATAGAGGTTTGTTATAACAGTCAACGTAAATTTCCTCAATACATAAAACAAACGTTGCCCATTTTTGTATAGTGTTATTACATAGTTATTCATTAAATTTTAAACACTTTGTGTGTAATTTTTCTTTACGGGACAAATTTGGGAATTAAAATTAAACATACAGTGTTTAATTTTGCACACATTAGGAGATTCCTCTCTGGTTACCTCCCTTTATATGGGTAAATGTAAACAAAAATTTGTTAGAGCAAATTTTAAACATTTTATGTATAATCTGTAAAATTGTGAACAATAAATTTGAATTTGAAATTTGTTCTACGCCACAAATGTGATAAGTAAAAGTAAACGGGCAGTGTTTAATTTAATTAACACGGAGTCTAAATTTGCATTCATGACTAGAGGAAACTAGTTACCTATCTTAATATGCGCAAATTTAAACAAACATTTTTTAGAGTGTAGCTATGACACACTAACTTGGAGTGAGTTGTAAATTTANTCCACTTAACCCATTCCAACTAATGTTATTTTAGCTCATTCAACTTACATAAACTATCCTTAATTTTATCGGTTGAATTTCAACCGCTGGGCGAACACTAGTCCACTTAAATACAGACAGACCCACCGTCGCGTCGTCATTGCCGTTGTTGTAGGCTATCGATTGTTTTAGCAATTAATTAAAATTAACGTTTTTGCTCGTAGAGACATACTTGCAAACATACAGGTACATATCTACATACTACATTACTGCCAATCGAGCTACATACGTGCTCATACCGCTTTCTAATCTAAATTGCATTTTACCGTCAACAAATTACGATTTTATTTTAAATGGCCAAACGACAAATACAAGCAAAAACAATTGAAATTGAATGAATGTAAAATTGATAGGTTTGGCATTTAGCAAAAGTAATTATATTTAAACAAAGTCAATAACTTTTAAATTAAAATACTATCTAATGGAAAAATTTCAAAATCCCAAGAACTCGTACTAAGTACGTACAAACGTCAGTAGGTATGTACTAGGGATGTTAATTTTTCAGCTTTTTCGGATCCCGGGAATTTCGGGATGTCGTTATCACAATCCCGGGTTCCCGCAAGCAGTCCCCATTACTTTATTCATTACTTTTGAACAACTTAAATCGAAGAAATCGCCTCTATATTGTTTGAGAAGCTCTCCTACCACAAAATAAATAATAGGGTCATTCCATGTAAAACAGGAAAACGACATAAATGTTAAAATGCCCTAATTATCTCTATTTCAGTGGTAAACATTTCATTAATCTGTTGAAAAACATTAAAAAAGTAAAACAGAAATTGTAATTTGTGTCTATGGAAACTTCTATTTCATGCTGTGATAACCGAGTGAAAAAGGTCCTTGTGTGGGTTGTAAGACTTTATTTAATTCACGCTTACAACATGTAAAATACAGATGACTTACGTACTAAGAAGTGTTTCGCAGTTGGCTTGAGATGAACGACTAAGAGAATGTCAGAATCGATAGACGAACAACACCGCAAGCCGGAAAGGGTTAGAGTTGCCATTATATTGAAAATAGATTATAAAGCACTATTTTATTACTTAGTACTTAGTACTCTACACATGCATAATTACTTTACACCAATCACATGGACATGTCCCACCAGTCACAAATTTAAATATTTTTTGATATTTCTATGAAGATTATATAAGCCTAAATTTTAATGAAAACGAAAGCGTATAATTCATATTTCAAAACACAAAAAAATCATTTGTGAAAATTAAGATTTTTGGCTACAATTCATCTTTGAGTACACGAAGGTAAAATAGTGTCCCGCCAGTCACATTCATTCAAATGATAGCTACATAAAACTAAGAAATCATTTGCTATATTTGTTAAAGCAGTTTTATGCGTTAGTTATCGTTCTGGGTTAAAAAATTATCTTTCGCTGTTGTGTACGTTCCGACGACATAGAAATAGTTCACAATTGATCACATTCTCGAGTAAAATGTCCTAGCAGTCACAATGGAATGGCCCAATAAATATATGGGTTTGAAATCTACTTTTTTTATCTAAAGTGGCGTTTCTATTTTTTCTCTCTGATGTGAGGATTTATTTCAAAGGACTCTGTAATTTCAAAGATACANTATGGTTATGTTATGTTATGCCAAGTACTAAGCTAAACTCCCCTCCACTTAACCCATTCCAACTAATGTTATTTTAGCTCATTCAACTTACATAAACTATCCTTAATTTTATCGGTTGAATTTCAACCGCTGGGCGAACACTAGTCCACTTAAATACAGACAGACCCACCGTCGCGTCGTCATTGCCGTTGTTGTAGGCTATCGATTGTTTTAGCAATTAATTAAAATTAACGTTTTTGCTCGTAGAGACATACTTGCAAACATACAGGTACATATCTACATACTACATTACTGCCAATCGAGCTACATACGTGCTCATACCGCTTTCTAATCTAAATTGCATTTTACCGTCAACAAATTACGATTTTATTTTAAATGGCCAAACGACAAATACAAGCAAAAACAATTGAAATTGAATGAATGTAAAATTGATAGGTTTGGCATTTAGCAAAAGTAATTATATTTAAACAAAGTCAATAACTTTTAAATTAAAATACTATCTAATGGAAAAATTTCAAAATCCCAAGAACTCGTACTAAGTACGTACAAACGTCAGTAGGTATGTACTAGGGATGTTAATTTTTCAGCTTTTTCGGATCCCGGGAATTTCGGGATGTCGTTATCACAATCCCGGGTTCCCGCAAGCAGTCCCCATTACTTTATTCATTACTTTTGAACAACTTAAATCGAAGAAATCGCCTCTATATTGTTTGAGAAGCTCTCCTACCACAAAATAAATAATAGGGTCATTCCATGTAAAACAGGAAAACGACATAAATGTTAAAATGCCCTAATTATCTCTATTTCAGTGGTAAACATTTCATTAATCTGTTGAAAAACATTAAAAAAGTAAAACAGAAATTGTAATTTGTGTCTATGGAAACTTCTATTTCATGCTGTGATAACCGAGTGAAAAAGGTCCTTGTGTGGGTTGTAAGACTTTATTTAATTCACGCTTACAACATGTAAAATACAGATGACTTACGTACTAAGAAGTGTTTCGCAGTTGGCTTGAGATGAACGACTAAGAGAATGTCAGAATCGATAGACGAACAACACCGCAAGCCGGAAAGGGTTAGAGTTGCCATTATATTGAAAATAGATTATAAAGCACTATTTTATTACTTAGTACTTAGTACTCTACACATGCATAATTACTTTACACCAATCACATGGACATGTCCCACCAGTCACAAATTTAAATATTTTTTGATATTTCTATGAAGATTATATAAGCCTAAATTTTAATGAAAACGAAAGCGTATAATTCATATTTCAAAACACAAAAAAATCATTTGTGAAAATTAAGATTTTTGGCTACAATTCATCTTTGAGTACACGAAGGTAAAATAGTGTCCCGCCAGTCACATTCATTCAAATGATAGCTACATAAAACTAAGAAATCATTTGCTATATTTGTTAAAGCAGTTTTATGCGTTAGTTATCGTTCTGGGTTAAAAAATTATCTTTCGCTGTTGTGTACGTTCCGACGACATAGAAATAGTTCACAATTGATCACATTCTCGAGTAAAATGTCCTAGCAGTCACAATGGAATGGCCCAATAAATATATGGGT